CTCGAACGGCGGAGGAGATCGACGGCCGATATTGTGGGCAGGGAGGGCTGACGCCAGCGGTCGCGGGGGTGGCCCCGGCGTCGCTGGCTCCTGGCGGTGTCTCCTCGCGGGCCCCGCTGGCCGTGCGCCACCCCATCGTCCGCACAGCTTGGGCGGTACGGAGAGGAGCGCTGCGCCTGGCGGGCGTCGGACCCCTGCTCGTCCCGCGGTCATTCTTGGCGTAGCAACAATCGTTCGGAAGGGGAGAGGGGAAGGAAGGGAGGAGAGAGAAACAATTTCTCTTGATGGCCAGCTGGAAGTGGCCATAAACACGGTGCAGGTTGGTTGCTTTTTTTGCCCTCGCAAAAAGAACACCCTGCAGGCATACATGCGTACGCATTGTGCGGGTAAGAACGGACTGATACCTATATGCTTCAATACTCTATATTATATAGGTCATATACTAGTATATAGTATATTATATAGTTATATATATATATATATATATAGCACTCAATATACTATATATATATATATATATATATCGCTATATCTATTATGATATATATGGGACCCGCGAGATACACTCGGTTTATGTTTCGGGCTCACTAAATCGGGGCCTCGTTAATGGTCGCCGTATTATAAGGCGCCTGGAAAACTCAGAGAACCCTCCGCCGTCAGATTTTCTAGCCCTCCACTGTCGGTTTTTTGTTCCGTCCATTTCTTTGTGCGCGCTTGCGTCCTCTGCCGCCTCGGATTGGAAAGAGGAGGAAAACTCTGCCGGAAATCGTCGCCAAGCTAAGATTTTTTTCCCTCTCCGATTTCTTCCCCACCAACGCTGAAATATTGGTGCAAAACTCTTGCCACGTCAGATTGTTTCCTTCTCTGTCTTTGTTTACAAAAGTTTCTTTTTTTTCTATGCGAACCAAACGCACACACAGAAAAAGTGAAATACATTGGTTTTCCTCATTTTTTATGTGCGCCGATACCAAGCCAAAACAATCTGATTTCTTGGAAAAATGTGTGGAACAAACCAAACTTGTGTTTCTTTACATGGAATTACATTTCTCGCCTATTCATCAGGAAACGAATACCGAAACAGCCCCTAAAGCACAAAATTCCTCCTTACTGGTAGATAGATTGCTGGCCAGTATTATCCTCAACTCATTCAAATGGGGTGGAGGGGCCACCATTCACATGCGGTTGATATGGCTGGTCCGCAAATTGAATGAGTCGCCAGTTCGGGAATGAGCGGATACCATCACTACACGCCACAAAATCTTGTGTGCCCTTCATTGGCGGTACCCAGTATGCCTCTCTCGTCCTACGTCTCTCTCTCTCTTCTCTTCCCCTGATATACTATATTCTCGTAGGTACTATACCATACTACCCTATTACTCTAACTAGCCCGTCTTATAGCATATTATATCTATATATATATATAAAAAATGGGTATGCTTAGTACCAAGCACAAAAAGTTATGCTTGGTAGTGAGGCTTGATAGTGAGGTGGCATAATCCCCTCCACTCATTCAAATGGTTACATATCCTTATGTACTCCTCAACTCGTGTGAATGCGATACCTCATAAGAAAACTGGAAAGACACCATATGAATTATGGAAAGGCTATACACCTAACCTAAAATATTTCAAAACGTGGGGGTGTCTTGCCAAAGTCCATGTGAATGAACCTAAAAAGAGAAAATTAGGACCTAGAACTGTAGATTGCATGTTCTTGGGTTAGGCTCAAAATAGTCCTACTAGTAGATTTCTTGTTATCAAATGCAACAATAATCTAGTAGCTGAAAATACTATTATTGAAAGTAAAAATGGTGATTTCTTTAACGATATTTTTCCTATGAAAAGTAGCTTTGAAAAATCTAAGTTTCATAAGGACTCACAAGAAGTGGTTTGTGAAGACTCACAACAAAATCCCAAAAATTCTGAAAAGAAATTCGGAAGAGTAAAAGAGAGAGAAAATCCACCAATTTTGGTGATGACTTTTACACATTTCTTTTAGATAATGATCCTATAATGAAGCAATATGCTCTAGAGAAGCACCATTTTGGAAGAATGCAATCAATTCGGAATTGAATTCTATCATGTCCAATCATACTTGGGAGGTGGTTGATTTGACACCTGGTGCTAAACTTACAGATTATAAGTGGATCTTCAAAAGAAAGCTTAAAGCTGATGATTTAGTTGAAAAGTATAAGGCTAGGTTGGTAGCTAAGGGGTTCACCCAGAAGAAAGACAGATTATTTTAATACTTTTGCTCCTGTAACTAGAATTTCTTCTATTAGTGTTCTAATGTCTTTGGCAGCAATCCATAATTTATTTGTTCATCAAATGGACGTTAAGACAGCTTTTCTGAATGGCGATCTAGATGAAGAAATGTATATGAATCAACCTGAGGGTACTATCGTACTAGGAAATGAGCAAAAAGTATGCAAATTAGTTAAGTCTTTGTATGGGTTGAAACAAGTGCCTAAACAATAGCATGAAAAATTTGATAATACATTGTTATCCAATGGTTATCATATAAATGATGCAGACAAATGTGTTTACTTTAAAAGATTTGAGAATCATCGGTATGCCATTATCTGCCTTTATGTGGATGATTTGCTCATCTTGAGCCCTAGTCTTGAATTAATAAGTGAGACAAGGAAGTTTTTATCCTCCCAGTTTGATATGAAGGATCTGGGAGAAGCTGATGTAATTCTTGGGATTAAAATCCTTAGAAATATAGATGGTTTCACTTTGACTCAAGAACATTATGTGGAAAAAGTTTTGAAAAAGATTGAATATTATGATAGTAACCCTGTGTCAACACCTTATGAGGCAAATGTTCAACTTAAGAAAAACAATTCACATAGTTTTTCTCAACCCAAATATGCCCAAATTATTGGAAGCCTTATGTACTTGATGAATTGTACAAGACCTGACATAGGTTATGTAGTGGGCAAATTAAGTAGATACACTCAGTGTCCTAGTCAGGAACATTGGACGGCCCTAGAAAGATTGATCAAGTACTTAAAAGACACAATTAATTATGAACTAAAATTTGGAAGGTCTCCACCAGTATTAGAAGGGTATTGTGATGGAAACTGGATCTCAGATTCACAAGAGATCAAGTCCACCAATGGTTATGTGTTTACCCTTAGTAGGGGTGCAGTGTCTTGGAAATCATCCAAGCAAAACTTGATAACTCGGTCTACCATGGAGTCCGAGTTAGTTGACTTATTGTTTGTGGAAAATTTGATGTAAAAAGACAATGAAAGAAAAATTGACTTGTATTCTCTCAAAATCGATTACAATTTGGATTCCGATTACAAAAGAGAGGAGGATGAATTTGATTCTCTCCTTTGTTTAAAACTGGGTTCTTCTTGGTAGCGATGGAGTACCTCCTTCGATTGCTTGCGTCGAATTCGCTCTCCGTTGACGATCCGACCGTCTTATCTCACGGGAATAGTTGACTTGTAGGATGAATTCGGTTTAGAACCCTTAACCAGTTTAATAAACTCAGGACGAGTTGAAAACTCTAAAAAGAGTTGTTAAAAACTGAATAATCGATAATAAACTTGTGCGGCAAGTTTAATTAAAGACTCTTAACGAGTTTACTAACTCAGAGCGAGTTGAAACTCTGTAACCGAGTTGTTAGAACTGAAGATGCGGTTAATAGCCAAGTAGATCCGCTGTTGGTGAAGGGATTCTCTAAGATTTGATTAACTGATTGCTGATCAGTTCCTTGATCTTTAAGAAAATCGCCTTCTCTGTGCGGTTAAGCTGTTGAGATCGAACAATTCCCCACCTTGTGCGGTGTTGCTGCTGAAAACTGATCAACCTCTTACTCAGTCGAGTAAGTTGGTTATTTATAGGGGGATTAGGGGTGTAACCAACCCCTAAATCCGCTCCTAAGTGGGCGAGAATCCCTCAGAACGTGGGATAAACGGTTGTGAGGCCGTTCAACTTGTGTTTGAACAAGTCAAACGCCCAAGTTGGCGTTCTGGGCCTTAACTCTGCGTCTAAGGCTTGAGACACAGAGTTAAATCTCTGTTAGAGATTTGAGACGCACAGGCCACTTGTGTGCTGAATCTCAACTCTGCGCATGGTTGAGTATTTGCTGAAGAACGCACAGTTCGTACGTTTTGTGTTTTAACTCTGCGTTGCAGAGTTGAATGTCTGCTGGAGAACGCATGGTTCGTCTGCGTTTTGAATTTGGGAAACGCAGAGGTGAACCCTGCGTTTGGGAGAGGTTGTTGGTTTGTAACCTCGTCCGTTGTAACATCGCAAAGGCTATTGCTCATTGATCTTTGCTTGTTACGGGATGTGAAAGTCGTCAGGTTGTAACCTTCACTGTAGATTGTGAAGACTGCTGAACAGAGTTTTCATCAGTTGTCGGAAGCGTCGTTGAATTATAACTCTTCTCGCTCTATGTGAAAAGTCATCTATTTGCAGCTTTCGTTTGTTGGCATGAAAGCTATCTGATTGTAGCTTTCATTGTTAGAACTTGATGGGGATCAATTGTCCACTGTGATTTTTAGACGAATACTTGCCCACAGCTCTCTACCAAGCAACTCACCAACTGAGTCCAACCTTTTATTTCTGAAATTATTACACTGCTCATCAGCATCTCTAATAGTTGCTAATATAATATTAGTCATGTTATTATCGCAGCCATCAAGATCAATCATCTCAAACATGCGGCCGTATTTGTAACGATTGTAGAGTTGCGGATGCAGTGATTAGGAAGTCGTATGATTGTAACTTCCATTGCTGGAGCTTGATGGGGGTTAACTATCTATTGTGATTTTTAGACAGCCTACAGAACCCCCTCTAAAGTTTTTGAAAGTTCGCGGTTGACTGGGACGAATTTTCGGAATACTTTGGATCCCAAAATTTTAGTTGGTTGGTTATTTACTTCGTCTGATTTGAAGACATTACGAACTTGGTTGTTGGAATGCTGAAATTTTGTTTCCTCGAACCAAACAAGATAGCTTTTGCGTTTTGCTGACAATGAACTTAGTCAAACAAACTGAATCCCAAGTCATCGTCAGGCTCATTGACAGGCTCGTTCTTCTTCTCTTTCTCCTTAGAGGCAAGAGCAGCAGCATTCTCAGCAGATGCAATAGAGATAACAGCAACAGCAAGGACGTTCTTGTAGGCATTGACGAACATATGAAACGTAGCTGCAAGAGTTGGATAAGAGAAAACCAAGGACAGTGAAGCAACCATAGAAACACCTGCTGTAAACTTGTCAGTGAGGTCATCCTTCATGAGGTTGAGCGCCTCTGGGCTTACGACAGATCCATTATCATAGACAGATATAATCGCAGGCCCACACGAGAATGGCTCTACTCCAAGTTTGGTCAGGAGGGTGGCCTCAGAGAGACCCACTTTATCTCCTTTCTTGATCAGCTCAACTGGGATAATGAGTTGCGCGCAGCTTCTGTCTTCATTAATCTTGGTGGGAATGTTAACCCATTTTAGATGAATGAGTTGTGCGCAGCTACTGGCTTCATCGACCTCGGTCGGGATGTTGAGCCATTTGAAAGAATGAGTTGTGCGCAGAATCACGTTTGACAGTTTTATCGTTGCCGATTGTAATATGTTTGTACTCATCTAACAGACTCCCCAACGGAGTCGTCTGTTTCTTCTCGGCCTTGATCACCTTGATGGCCAACATCAGTCTTTCTCTCTATTTATTAAAGCTATGTCTTGGCTTTAAACATTGAGAAGTTCATTTGGTGGCGTTCAAAACGCACAGGTGGATTCACATGCTTGAACATTGCTTTAAACATTGAGAAGTTCATTTGGTGGCGTTCAAAACGCACAGGTGGATTCACATGCTTGAACATTGAAACGCAGGGTTGAACTCTGCGTTCAGGAACTCAAACAACGCGGACACACAGGCCGCATTTGGCGGGATTCTGGGCCTAGAATCTCGCCCCGATTCGACAGCTCACAGCTGTTTATAAATAGACCGCTGGGGTCAAATCAAAAGTCATCCGACTTTTCATCTGTCCTTTCTCGAAAGATTTAACGAAAATTTCGTTCTGAACTCCGGTGAACCCTGTTCATCTTCCCCGATCATCGTCGTTAATGGGTCCAAGAAAGAGGACTGTCTCCCATTCCAGGCCGACCGCTGCTGCGGCGTCGTCGCCTCTGGCTCCCCTTGTCGGTGGTAAGTGTCGCCCCTTTATTGCCGTCAAACTTGCTTCGGCGAGTTCTCTGGGAACCCTAGATGGGTTTTTTTGTAAACGAGGAAGATGACTCGTTTTGATATTGTAACGCAAAGTTGGGACTCTGCGTTTCGAATTCGAAACGTTAGGGCCCGACCCCTGCGTTTGACCTTTGTAACGCATGACTTGGATTTTGCATTTAAAATGCAAAGTCCGACCTCTGCGTTAATAAAATCTTAACGCCAGGTCTGAGTTGTACGTTTGAAAGCTTGACGCAGAGTTCGACCTCTGCGTTGATGAAATTTAAATGCCAGGTCTGAACTGTGCGTCTTGAAAGCCTAACACAGAGTTCAACATCTGCGTTGATGAAATTTAAACGCCAGGTCTGAACTGTGCGTCTTGAAAGCCTAACGCAGAGTTCAACATCTGCGTTGATGAAATTTAAACGCCAGATCTGAACTGTATGTTTGAAAGTTTTTTTTTCTCTAGGGATTTTGACTAAGGTTCCCTTTGTTTTATTTCCTCGTTGACTAATTGAGTACTTTTCTCTTTTTGCAGTGCCTTACTCCCGCGAACCTCTTTGTTTTATTTCCTCGTTGACTAATTGAGTACTTTTCTCTTTTTGCAGTGCCTTACTCCCGCGAACCTCTTACTCTTCGTCACCATTTCGGGCGCGAGGGTGGCGTAGATTCAAATATGCAATTCAATCTGCGTCAGGAACTCTCAATTTTTCAGGATGCAGACAAGGATCGTGTTACCTTGATCTCGAATCCAAGCCCAACTGTACTCAGGATATTGGTGACAGATGCCAAATTCAAAACCGACTCTCGTAAAAAACTTACCAAACCAGCATTCTTGTTTGGCGATCATGTCGTCATCCAAAAAGAGATTGTGACTAACGGCCACTATAAGTGGTTGAGGCAAATAGGAGATCGCCGCTTCTTCCTCCCTGATATGCATATGATGTTTCCTATCGCTTACTATCAGTGCGCTTCCGTCCCTCGACATATGGATTGGGACCTTGTCCGGGAGCATGATGGGGTAGTTATCGGGGCTTTGACCTACACAGGCGTACACACTGTAGGTTACAATCGACAGGTGTCCGCTTTGGAGCTCTGCCTGTTCTCACGGGGGTATCCTTTAGGAGAAACAGCTAGTATAGCCAACACTTTTATGCGGAGATTTCTGGCCGCGAAAGGAGAATTCCCTTCCTCAGTATTTAGGGCTCCTGGATGGGTACACTCTATCGAGACAGGATGGTGGACACGAATGACGGACTTCGTGATAACAGAGTTAAAGGGATCATTAGCTCAATCTGGGCTTGGTTGCCCTGTAATAGCTACCAGATGCGGTATTGACTACAACTATTACAATTTTTTCTCTGTTCTGGAGAAATATAACCCGGAGACGTGTACATTCTTCACACCAGTGGGGGAATTGGGGTTTGCCCTCCACGAAATGTATGACGCTTCGGGTCTTCCTTTTGGAGACTTGCCCTATGAGGAGTTCATCCCAGGATCAAACGAGCTTAGGATTTTAAAGGAGAAGCATCCTGACGTCTATGACACTCTATGGGAGGTAATGTGTCATTTTCAAATCTGCGCTCAATTGACGGGGGCACGAGGACGTGGTATAAAGCAGCTATCCTGGGCTGATTATCTATTCTAGAATTTATCCACAAAACTGCTAATGTGTCTCGTCGGAGCGTGAGCGCCCCTGAGACAATCCAAACTCTGATCAACGACGCTACGTCCCATTATGTCAACGAGGGATTGGAAGAGGATTTCCCTGCACAGACTGAGTTTGAAAGTTTCCATCACCAGGCTGCTGTGCCTATTTCTGACAGGGCCTTGTTGGCCGGCTTCCTCATGTTGTGTCTAAAGTGATGTGTAGTCCCTACGAGGCCCATAGATGCTGTGATGATAGAAGTAATCTACCCGGCTGTCCTCTTAGCTCACGGGAGACCTGTGAACTTGCTTTCAGCTATGACTTGCTGTTTGCAGCATGGTTTGAGGGAGTTGTGCCTCGAATTCATTCAGGTGAAGGAGGTAGATTCTGAAGGAAAGAAAAGTTTTGTGACACCAAATCCTTGAGTTCCCCTACCATATACCTATTTGATGGCATGGTACGTATCCCATTGCCCTCTTTTGATGAGTGCCCCATCTCCATCGGACGAAGGGTTCATCCCTTTTGTACAGCGATTGGAAGGAGCTTCTTGGGAAGGCACATATGTAGTGAGGGTTCGTCAAATCTTGTCGAGAGACCTCAATTATCAAATATTCCGCTGTTTACCAGACTTTGAAGGCGGTGACTATGGGCAGGTGTTCCAAGATACGGCTGGTCCAGACGGTTTTACCCGCTTAGATGGAGGGGTCTTCCACTGGCTCTTGAACATTAGACCAGGTTATCTCCTCCTTAGGCAAAATGACAAATACATAATCGAGCCGTATCAGCCGTACCGGTTTGCTCGCCAGTTCGGGTATGACCAATTATACGTTGGGAATCCCCGAAGTCAGCTTGCAATTGTTGGCAATATATACGAAGGAGCTAGGGCCTGGTACTACTCTACCGCAGGCTGCACTGGAGCTACCTTTAGGTTACCTCACAAGACGCCCAACTCTCTTTCATCCATAGCTTTTTGTAACTGGTATCACACAGCTTCCAAGATACCTGATTATAGGTTGAAATTGTCGGGGCTACGGGAAATTAGGAAGAAGTACTCATCCAGAAGAGGATCCCGGGTATCTCGTCTGAAGGGAATCAATGAGTTCTTATCTTATGAAGGTGAGGCTGAAGAAGGAGCAGGGGATCTGGAACCAGAGAGTGCTCCAGTAGCAAGCCCTAAGGCTGCTGAAACTCCAATCAGGCTTCAGATGCTACTCTGGAGACGTCACTTGCAGTGTCTCCTGTTAGAGAGACTAGGCCTCCTGCAGATGAAAGTCAATCTCCCGCTGCTTCTGTGTTACTACCACAGATGGAGGCTGCTATTTCTAGCCCAACGACCGGCATTATGACTAAAGCGGATGCCACTACAGGTTCTCCTGGATTATCAACAGCAAATGATGAAGAACCGTTAGACTACGGAACTTCTTCCCATAGCGATGATGCTGATGAGGAGGAAGGTGATGGTAATGAGGAGGAAGGTGAAGGTAATGAGGAGGAAGGTGAAAGTGATGAAGATTCCATCGGCTGGGCTGATCTACCACCACCTTCTTCTGACAAGGCGTCTGCCTATATTCCTTCTCCCCCCATTGGTAAAGATTATCCATTTTGATTTGTCTGGTGTTTCTTTCTTCTATACTAACTACTCTTTCGTGTAGGTTCTCCAACTCATGGGGTTGCTAACACGACTTCGCTCCCGGGCCAACAAGCGACGGTCACTTCTCCTGCTGAGAAATTACCAGCAATGTCGACCCCTATGCAAAAAGAACCCTTTCCGTTAACGATTCCTCTCAAGTCTGTGGGGACGAAGATTGTGCTAAGTTCAGCCCAAACAGGGGCACTTATGGTTCTACCCTCCAGTCCTTCACAATTGGACGTCACTATGGCTTCTCCGACTTCTTCACCGCTCTTGCATCAGGGTCTATGACTTTGGGCTCCCCAACAGTTTCTCCTGCGAAGTCTTTAAGTCCAATGGTCATCCCCTCCATGCTTAAGCTTCTTGTACGACCTCTGGAGGATGTGATTAAAGTGGCTATTGAGGAGGTTGGTGCCGGACGAGCTACATTTGACTCCTTTAAGCCTATACTCATGCCATTCTTGAGCGGCATTTGGTACGTGGATGACGCTCGTTGGTTTCAGTACTACTCCGAGAACATCTCTCGGTTAGAGAAAGATCTGAGGAGTTTGGAAGAATTGCATCGCGCCGATCTTGCTGCCCAGACTGTGTTAGTCTTTGATAATCTTAAAGCTGAAGCGGCCCGCCAATACGAAACTCTTCAAGAAGCCATCACTGAAAGGGAGCTCGAAATTGCATCCTTACAGGGGCAATGCATTCAGAAGCAACATGCTGTGGATGCTTCTACTGCTGCCATACAAACTTCCAGGGCGGCACTTGACCAACTAGAGGTGGAGATGGCTCGTCACAGGGCTGAGCTTGCGCGAGAAGAGGAAATTTTAAAGAGACTCACATTAGAAAGCGTGAAGACTTACGCCACTTATCGTTCGTCAGTGCAAGACCTTGAACTTATCCAAAAGGAAGTTAATGCGATAACACCGGACGAGGGCGTGCTCAGGAAGAAAGCCGAGGTGATGGTGCAGGCCGCTCACAAAGAAAGATTATCTGCTATTAAGTCCCGGCTTGCGTCTTTCCCTTTCACCGATCCGGAGGCTTAGTTATGTTTGATAAGAACAGGGCTTTTGTATCACTTCTTAAAATTCCTGAATAAAATAAAAAGAGTGATTTTGGCTATTCTTTTATCTACTGCATGTGTCGTGTCC